ATAAAATCAATCCAATAAGTGCTGAACACCAATAATTGAAGTTGTTGCATATTGGCACCACAAACAACAAACATAGCTGAAGAAATTTTAATGACCAAACTTTGGCCTAGCTAATTAATTATACATGACCCACAGCTTGTTGACGAAACAGGTCGAGGCGGTGGGCAACACGAACGGGCGGCAGCACACACCGAGGACCTGATAATTCCTATTTTGGGTATTTTATCTTTTAACTCCTATTTTAGAATTTAATCAATGTTTTACTCCTATTTTGGTCCTTAACCCATACTATTGCTAAGTTAGAAAAACCAAAAAAAATTGATTAATATTGTTGGTGTCCCCATTCAAAATAAAAGAGTGCCCCCAATGGTTGGCATCCAGCTTTCAAGTATTTTTTCTTTTATTTGTTTAATTAATTAATTTTTTCCTTTTAGGTTTACATGTTACTCCATCCGTTCCTAAATATATTACAATTTTTCTCTCTCTCTCATCTCGATAACTTTTGTTTGTTTACGCGATATCATTAAGTATTTGATAAAATAAGAAATTCTTGTCACCTCTTGTTTTGTAGAACTCTTGACATAATTTTTAAATATGTAATTTTTATATCTTATTGATATACCAATTTGTAAATAAAATGATTTTAAAAAGTAGGAAAGTTTACTTCGTAACCCGCAATTTGTAATCTATTTAGGGACGAAGGGAGTATTTGTTTTGTATGTTTTAAGCTTACTTGTTTTATTTTGTATTAAATGGCGTTGTTTATTACTCCGGGGTATATTGATTGCAGTGAGTTATTTATTCCTAAAAATACACTATACTCCCTACATCTCACAAAAACATACTCCGTATTACTTTTCTTTTTCATCCACCCAATAAAAATCTGCACTTTTCTTTTTTTGAAAAATAGTCGTTACAAAATTTATATCTCTTAATCAATTGTAATAATTACTTTTATATTTTTCAACATCTTTCTTAAATTTTGTAAAAGTCAAACTGAGAAAGTTATATGAGATTAAAATTAATAAGTTATATTTATTGTATAAATCATTAAGGAGTACTTTTAAAATTTTCATTTTAATTATTTGAATGATTGTTTCACAAAAAATTTATTACTCTTTTTGTTCCAAATTAAATATTTGTTTTTGTTCCATGTGTAAGGTATTGGGGGCATTAGCCCACAGTCAAATTCTACTGCTAAGTTAGAAAAACCAAAAAAACTTGATTTATATTGTTGGTGTCCCCATTCAAATTAAGAGAGTGCCCCGAATGGCCCTGGCATCCAGCTTTCAAGTATTTCTTCTTTTTTTAATTTAATAAATTAATTTTTTTCTTTTTCTTTTTAGGTATAAAAATTAAGTTTACATGTTATTTGTTTTGTATGTTTTAGGTTTACTTGCTCTATTTTGTATTAAATGGGGTTGTTTATTGAATTGATTGCAGTGAGTAATTTATTCTTAAAATATACCATGCTCCCTACATCTCACAAAAACATCTTACTTTTCTTTTTCATTCACCCAATAAAAATCTGTACTTTTCCAATATACTAGTATTTTTACCCGTGCAATGCACGGGGTAGAATAAAATTTTTATTTGTTCTAAAACTTTTTTAATGCAATATTTTTTCTCACAATAAAGAAAATATATTTCCCTATGATTTTTAATAGTATATACAAAAATTCCAAAGTAGAATAAATAATATTTGAGCAATTAAATGTGTATTCAACCAAGTTTTTTTAATACCAAACTTTTTGAAAGACTGTAGGGTATATAATTTTTTTGATATAGTTGCAAGGGTATCATTGTCATCTAGAACCAATATTTTTAATTGTGTTTTTGTCTTCACTCATGGAACCATAACATAAAGCTGACTATGAGTAAATACCAACTTGGTTAAAAGTAATGCAAGAAATGAGATTGTTTGACTTTTACTTTTGTTGATAGTCATTGCAAAATATAAGACTATTGAGATTTGCCTTATAAATAACTTCAAGAGTAGTCCTAGATCAGATTGTATCAATTTCATTTGAAGTATGAAAACTTTTTGCTGACTCGATTTCTCAAAAAGCACAATAGACCAACAACATTCTTTCACAGCTCTTCAAGGATTAATCGTGTACCATAACATAATCCATATATTTGGTCAATGTTTCTCAATATCAAAATCGTTAACCCATTTTTAAGATTATTTTGTAGTTTTGGATCCCCGAACATTTGATTTCATTTAAAATTTAATTGTTATTTGATTGTCATCAATAATTACATCTGAATCGGCCTGACATGAAGAATTAAAACTCAGGCACACCATTTCATATTAGTGAATGAGGGATATGACAAATTCATTTACCATTTTCACAACCTCAAGCATGGTCCAGTAGTGCCCTATCCTAAAAAATGAATAAATTTTCATACTCTCCAATAGGTTCAATTAGGATAAGTGAAGTCCACTATACTCTTCACAAAATAACTTGTGTCTAGAATTAAAAATTTATGCGGAATTTTAAGGTCAGTTGTTTCATTAATCACTTGTCTAAGTTTTTCATCTCAAACTTTAATTATCCAATCAGAAAAAATTTGTGTGTCCTATCTGGGATAGAGGACGTAGAATAATGTAATATCATATTCTTCGCTAACATATAAATTTTAAAATACGACCATAATGTTAAAAAATAGATCATATCACTCACAATTTTCTCTCTTGAAGTTTTGGGTATAACATGAAGAGTTTGCCAAAAATCACCACTGAGTACAACTATTTTCCCTTCGATTCCTACTTTTTCCCGTCCGAATTCATCTATTTTCCCTCCAAATGGTTCATTTATAGAGTCTTTATTAGAGAAATTCGTTGCATCTCTCATTTTGTGATCCAGCACCTTAAAAATAAATCTATTCATCATACATGCTCCATCTCATAATTTTAGACTTACTTGTTAGATTAGTTCTGCTTTCGGACTCGCTTGTTTGATGGCACACGTTATACAATCGCCCAAAGAGGTTGAGAATTTCAAGTGTAATGTCATTCACCCATGTCCTTCCCCCATGAAAAACTAATGCTGCATTAACACTGGATGTGACATTCAAGACAATCTTATCATTTGACATTAGAGAAATAAACACTGATTTCCATAAAAAAAATATTTTTTCAGTTCCACTGTAACCATACATAAAAAAAAGAAACCTCTTCTTTCAGGTATCACAACTTCCATTATCTCATCGTATATATTGTGCTGATATTCATTCATCGTAGATAAGTATCTCATACGATCACATACAAACTTTTCTTTTTCACTTTTATAATGCAAAATCATTCAAGCCCTTGATAGTATTCTCGTCAATATACAAAATGTTTTATCAAAATATAAATAATTATAAATTTAAAATTATATTTCTCTTTGATGTGGTTGTAACTTGTAACTTAGTCTCGATCTTATTAGTCTCCATTCGGATTTAATATTTTCATTTGACTTTTCTTGGTCAAATTTTGTATACGATATTTCTCGTATATGTACATGAATACTCATTTTGAGTAACTGAATATTCATTTACGAGTACTAGAGTACTCATTTTCAAGTAACCAATTACTCATTTTTTTAGCATAATTGAATTTTATAAACATAGTATAAAGTTACTCGAAAATGAGTATTCATTTGTTCAAGGATGAGTATTTTGTTATTTGTAAATGAGTACTCGTTGATTTCTTAGAGTCTGTTCTTTAAGGCTTGAACTCTTAACTTCCAATTTCTTATATTTTCTTCCAGGTTCTTCCAATTCTTTCTAGTTTCTTTCAGTTACGTTTCTTACCGTTCTTCCAGTTTCTTCTAGTTTTTTCCAGCTTCATCTAGTTTTTTTCAGTTTCTTCCAGTTTCTTCCAACTATTTTTATTTTCTTCAAACTCTTTCTACCTCCCGACCAAATATTCTTAATACGATATATTATTATTATTACACTTATTATGTTCATAACTACAGTTTATAAATTATTTAATTTTCATCTTATTATTTTCATAATTCACACTGATCACATTATGTGATATATCTGATATTTAAAACAAAATCTTGTAATATATAAAGTATAATTACAAGTATATTATTTTATGATAAATAATGCATAAATAAAGTGACGTGCAACATAGCCACAATAACTTTTAAATATTTAACATTTTTATATTTATTCTAATTTTATATTCTAATTAACTTTTTTTACAAAAGTAATTTTTTTGTATGAAAAATAACAATATTTGTTTTATCTTAAAGACACTCATTAAAATAACTTGATGACAACAGTAACAAGAACAATAACAACAACAACAACAACAATAATGATATAATTATATTATTTTATCAATTATATAATTAAAATATGTAAGCAAAGTAAATAAAATTTGATCTTGTTAATACTCTTAACAGTGAATGAGAACATAATTTTTGGATGGAGGGGGTATTTTGTATTAAAATATAAAAAATAACTACGATGCCAATTAAGCTCAATTAATTAATCTGTAATATTATTAAAAAAATTATTTTTACATATTATTATATTAGTTTTTTAATATGTAATTTTTATTTTTTAACTTCACACCTTTTTTCATATAAAATACTTTAAAAATAAATTCAGTCAAATATCGTGAGGATTTACTTTTGGGAGAACTGGAGTCTTTATTATTTGATTTTGTGAGGATTATTGTAAAATTTTGAATTTCTATGAGTATCTATATAAATTTTTTCTCTTATGAAAACAAAAAAACAACTAAGATGCCAACTTAGCTTAATTAATTACATGTAAGCGTAGGAAAAGCTGATAAGGCTTAATGGGAGTATTGACGTAAACCTATAATTTAATTGGGAGCAGCAGAGTCTTTAATTAATTTTGGAAGTATTATTGTAAAATTTCAAATTTTTGAGAGTATTTATATCAATTTTTTTTCTATTTAAATTTGAGTAGTTTTTCAAATTTGAGACACCATATCTGGAGTACAATATTAATGAGCCCTAAAGATTCTAAACCCGAATGAAATTATTTGAGTAGCTTTTCCCTGTCTCATTCTTTTTTTCTCCCTTCCGAACAGCCCAGCTCTTGATTTCTCCATCTCCCAATCTCCCATCGGCATCTCCAAGCACGCAGAACTGCAGAAGGTATGTTCCTCCGCGTCTCTTCTTTTATTTCTTCTTGAATGGCGCTGTGACGTAGATGGACCGACCGCGATTAGGACTGAGCCATAGGGTTGCGATTTGAGGTTTCGGGGGGCGCCTGAGATTATGGAGGGTTTTTTTGTCGGTCAGCAATTACAGATTTTTTCTATTTTATTATGAATAACTCGTAGAGGCTAAAGAAAACCTGATGAAGACGATGATGCAGAAGATCTAAGATGACTGTAGTAAAATTAGGGTTATCGCTCATGCCTCATGGCTAGGTTGCCTTGTTGCGTGTATTTTTTGTAAAGTTACAGAGGCAAGCCATTTATGCCTCGGCCTCGCAATTTAAAACATTGGTTTTGGGAACCCAAAATGCATTCGTGTGCCTCTCACTGTTATAAATCTAAGATGTTACATAATGTTCATGCGAGTGCTAGATCTTGTTTATACTGACATTCCTTTCATTCATTTGTAATTTCATCCTGAATCTAGCAGTGTCTTTGCCTTCTCAGATGGCTGCTGATCCCTCACACCATGATACTGGAAGTCTACAAACAACAGAGGGTGGCAGCAGTTGGTATTTCTCTAGGAGAGAGATCGAAGAAAATTCTCCTTTTATACGAGATGGCATTGATTCGATTAAGGAAACATACTTGCGCAGATCATATTGTGTATTCTTTCAAAATTTGGGCGAGCAACTGAAAGTGTTAGTTTTCAACTTCTGCCTTTTCGCATTTGCTATTCCCAATATCTCAAAGCTAATTTGGTTAATGTGGTGTTTTATCTTAGAGAGGCTGGTCTTAAGGCTCAAGGAATAATCTTTTGAGGCTGGTCTTAAGGACCCTATTAAAAAATGTAGTTATTATAATGACACTGTTCCACATAACTGCACAATTAAGAGTCATAAAATATGAAACAGTTCATGCATGTTCTGTAGAAGTGTTAAATATAAATCAACTAGTGATAAAAATTAAAATTCCAGTTTCTGTGGTTAGAACTGTACAGCTTTTTTTAGATATAAGATGTCTTATCTTCCAATTAACTATGACATCTTAAGATTATTTTATACCCTTCATAATTATAGCCTCATCATTATCTCTTCCATTGGCAATATCAGTTTTTTTTACTATTCTTGTTTATCCAAAGCATATATTGCTTTTCCTATTCTTCTTCACCACTATTTTTATTGCTTGAGATCTCTTTTGATTGAATCTGAGTTCCTTCTGATTTCCCTTTTAGATGTATCCGTTATTATCTCCTGTAAGCCATTCATCAAGCAATGTCAACTCATGATCCAACTGACTTTCTCATTGAATTCTTTTTATTTCAAATTTAATTGCCTATCGTTCAATCCTTTCTTGTATAGCACATAGAGCAAATTCATCCTCGTAGTGGTCAAGCAGTTTCTTTTCATTGTCTATAATTGATTAAATCTTCTTCAACTTTGTTCACAACACGATGATAAAAAAGTAAGGCTGGGCTTTTGGATTGTAAGTTTTGGTATCTCTGGAGTGTCATTGTCACCTTAGCTGGGATTGACATGCTGCTGCTGATGAGAGTGCCCATCTCCAAATTAGAGAATTCACCATCTCTAAAAATTATGTGTTCTAAGTTTTTGTGGAGTGTCATTTTCAACAACAGTATCAGATTTACATGTTTTCAAATTTGTTGTTGTTGTTGAGGGGTGTCATCTACAAAATGATTCTTCAAGTGTTTTATGTTTTATGTTGTTGGGGGGGGGGTCATCTCCAAAATTTCACATGTTTTAGAATCATAGTTTGCATTGATGTTTTAATTAAATAAAGTGTGATTTCTTTTTTATTTTAGTGTAGTTTTACGATATTGATCTATGTGTTAATAACTACCAATTCTACATTGGATTTTGCATTAAAACGGTCCAGATGAAAGTTAGTGATAGTGGTGAAGTGTATCCTACAATGGCTCCCGCCCTTAGTAGGGTAGAGGGTCGGATGTACGCAACCTGACCCTATGTTTAAATCATACATGATGAGCATAAAAAATTGCATTGACTAATTGGTACTCTACTTTTAAAAGTAGTGCAAAGCCGCAAACACTCTAAAGAGTCATTTTGCTTTATTCCATCATGTTCAAAGTCAAAAAATAGTGAATCTTTGGCTAAAGATGATGGAATATACATCGGCCATTACGTTATATAGACACACACGCACACATGTTTGTGTGTGTGTATGTGTGTGTGTGTGTATAGAAGGGGTAATCTTACACCAATTTATTAGTGTTAGATTGTTACATTGGAGCAACTACGGTGGTCTGATTGTAAAATGGATTGTTCCCTTAGTGCACCCCCGTACCCCTTCCGATTGCACCACCCAAAATTTGGTTGACTTTGGGGCCAAATGTTTTACCAAAATTTGGGTGGTGCAATCGGAGGGGGTGCAATAGGGACATGGCAGTTAAAAGGGGTAGGAACAATAAGTTTCCGTAGGTGCTTCGTTTGGATTGGTGTAACAGTCTTACACCCAATAAGTTGGTGTAATATTACCCCTTCTCATGTGTGATTGTGTGTGTGTGTGGATGTGTGTATATATATGAAAAAAATTGTGTGTGAGATCAATCTAAAAAAGTAGATCAAAGAAAGGAAAACATAGGGCAGAGGCAAATCTTCAAAATAAGAACAAGAAAAGAAAAGAAAAAGGAGAGAGCAGTCACACGGTGAAAAGGAAAAAGAAAAATAAACAAAAAGCGTTGCTCTAGTGACTAGACGTACCTGTCCCTAACAGGTACTTAGAAGCAGTCATCTACACCAAGAAAACGGAAAGAGACTGTATATGCATATCCAGTAAGGCACTAAGTTTAGAGTAGTTCAAAGTAGTAATCTTTTAGTCTGTTTTTAAATTTGTTAGTTGAATCAGTTAAAGTTTCCAAATAGGTTGTTTGCTTGGTATTAAATATTGTTGTTCAGGGACCATTTTTTCTCAACTTTTACTTGACATAATTTCTCAATAATGAGGAACTTGGCCAAAATTCCTTTTAAGTAGGATCAGAGGGAGTAATTTACTTGCCAAACATGCACACTATTTTTTGGGATATAATTTTCATGCACAAAGCTTGATGAGTCTTGTGAGTGTAATTGTGGTGGTTGATGTCTTGACTTGCAGGCCTCAGGTGACCATTGCTACTGCAATTTTA